TGTTTACCAGGCTGCAAGAGCGCAGGGGGTATCAGGCAGCTGGGTGGGACACAGCTGGTGCTTCCCATGGGAAGCACACCCCATCCAGGCGTGCAAGGCCAGCTGTGACTTGTGGAGCTGCAACAGGTCTGAAAAATTGGACCAAACCAGCTCCTGGCTCCGCTTTACGCTGGGCTCTATCCCTTTGGATTCCCCATGGAGCTAACCAGCTTCCCTAAGCAAAGCATGCACAGGTGTGAAGCGACTTAGTGCAACATAAATCAGGGGATGAGCAAAGTTGTTCCCCTGGAATAAGGATCGCCTTTATTTTTTTAAGCAGGATACAGAAAGCAAAGCTGTGGCTCCTCAGGCACCAAGTGCGTTTCAGGCACAGGGACCTGGGGGAGTCTGAGCCACAGCTGGCCTAATTTTGACCCCTCTTTTGGCGGGGTGGGGTGGGGTGGTGTGTCAGGCTGGGTCTTCCTTAACGCATGCAGGAGCTGCCTCTGGAGTCCTTTCCCCACCAGCCAGATGTGGATGACCCTGTGAACTGAATGAGCTTGGTAGCTCTGCTGCTTTTTGGTGGGGAGCAGAGCCCAGCCCTGGCCTCTCCTGAATGCTTCAAATCAAACCCTGACCCATTTGCAAGCCTGACTTGACCATCTGGCTGTGCTGGGGGGCTCAGGGAGGGTGGGTTTGGGTTGAAACATTGCGTTTCTAGCTGTGTGCAGTGGTAGGGGGAGCAGGGCTGCTGGGGCAGGGCAAGGGTGCTCGCGCCGGGATGCGGATGCTCGTGCCAGGATGCAGATGCCCTAGCAATGTGCCCCATCTCACTGAGCAATGATGGTGGATAAAAGCTTCTGTCTTCCCATCACCAGAGCGGCAGGGCTGGGGCAGAGGTCTCTGTTAGCGGGTGATGGATGGCGTGTGTCTCCCGTCTGTCCCCCGTCTGGCTCATCCATCACTCATCCTGATGACAGCGGCCGTCATGGGGAGGGTGGCAGGGGTCCAGCCCTTCTCCCTTGCCTGCCGCCCCGACACCGGGGTGAGGGGCTGGAGCTGCCTCAGCTCACCGAAAGCCCAATGAGGCTGAAAAACAAACTTTGCTGGCAGGGCTCGCCCCGGGACGCAGACAAGATGAATAATGCCACTCCAGCGAGCAATTTGTAGGGCTTTGAAAAGCTGTCAGCCCAGGGAGGAGCACGCCTTGACGGGTTCATCAGGGATTTCGCCTTCCTCCAGCAGCGCCCTGGCTGTCGGCATCCCTTGATCATCCCCGCTCCGTGCCGGAGGGAGCTGGGAGCAAAAGGGGACCCGAGGCAAATGGCTTTGGGGTGCTGCTTGCATAGCTCTCATTTACTGAAAAGATGATTTTGGGGGGGGAGTGTGGGTGAAAAATGCATGTTCCTAGTGATGCATTGCAAGGAAGTGATATCCCTTATCATAATGTTGGGGAGCTGAGGCTGCCTGGCTTGGTCTAAAAGTCCCATTCTCCGCATGCTTCTCCCTGGCTGGGTGGAGATCTGGGATGGAAATGGGCCGGTGCAGAGTGACAATTCACATTTTTGTAGTTAAAATGGAGAAAAATCTCAGATGGAGAAGGTGGATCCTCAAGAGGTTTTCCAAGCTGCTTCTTGATTTGCTCCTTTGTAAAGCACGTTTGTAAAGCATCTTTGGATGCTTGGAGGCAGGAGGAGCGGCTGCTAGCTCTAATTCCTGCAATTTAAGTCATCACATCCCTTTAAGTGTCAAATAACTGCCTGGATGAGAAAAGCAAATGGGGTTAAAAAGAGAAAATTGCTCTGTTTTAAGAGGTAGGGGGGAGGAAA